GGAGGCGTTTTTACGGCTCCGTCCTGATGCGCTTGTCGTGTCGTCAGTCATGTCGCCAGTCATGGTAACATTGCAACTGATGGGCCGCGGCCTTCCTGTGCTCGGGTCATGAACTTGTGCGATATTAAGAACAAAACCGCAGACGAAAGACGTACTAAAGTTGCGTATTCTACCATGTTTCACTGTCAGAGTTCGTCAATAGAGGCCGCAGAACTCAGGACACATGTAACTTTAAAGAGCAAGAAATAGTCATGCTTTCACAGTTATCAACCAAGGATTAGCCATGTTTAGAGATAGATGTGCAAAGGTAGGTATAACAGGTCGTTCCGTGTAATATAGCCAGCTGCCGCCGCCCCGCGTGCCCGCAAAGCTGGTGTGTTACGCCGAACGGTGGTTATACCGGCTATACAGATACAGAACCTGGTGTGTTATGCCGAAGGGCGGTTATACCGGCTATACAGATACAGGAGCTTGTGTGTTACGCTGAATATACTAGCTATACAGATACAGATACGTACAGAAGCCGGTGTGATACAAGGGGCGGTTATACCTGCTATGCAGATACAGATACATGTTATGTACAGCAATGTGCTCAGTAGCGTGACATTCCGTCGTCCAAACACTTCAACATTAACAAACTCGTGGCAATCATTCAGCTGTCTCAAACAATGTGTGAAAAGCACGGTTGTTGAAGTATAGATACTAGTAATCCCGAGAATAAAGAAATGGCAGTAAGATCATCATCACAGATTATCGCTTATCTCTGCAGCTAGTCCCGTGCCGTTTTGCTGCCCAGTACGGCAGTAAGATAGCAGCGAATAAAACCCGTGCGTCACAACGTGGTGGGCACATGATCATCGCCCATCAGGCCATGTTGATTGGATTGTATGTATGACATCCTCTGGGAACCCCAAAACTGATGCGAGCGTGCGAATGAAAAAAGAGTTTTACAAAAAAAGGTTGCCTTCATTATGAAATCTACGTAGTCGTGAAGGTTGAACAAATGATACTGAGTATGGTATGGCGAATATTCAACTCGCGGCGCCAATTCTCGCCCGGCTCTCAGGACCGGCCGCTTTTTTTTTCTATCATGTGCTAGTGTAAACAATAGCCTGGATTGTGACACTCCTGGATAATCATTGGTTTACAGCACTTGCCGGCGCGGCGCCAATTCTCGCCCGGCTCTCAGGACCGGCCACTTCCCGGCGCAGCGCCCAGCTCTCAGGACCGGCCACTTCCCGGCGCGGCGACAATTCTCGCCCGGCTCTCAGGACCGGCCACCTCCCGGCGCGGCGCCAATTCTCGCCCGGCTCTCAGCCCGGGACCGGGTACTCCCGGCGCCCGGTAACGGACGTTTTACGACCTCTCGTAACGGTGGTTTGAAAACCTGACGCATTCCCGTGTAACAGTGAGAGATTCGAAAACATAGCGCATTCCCCTGGCGGCTGTTAACCGAAGTTTAGCCCAGGGAAAGAGCTGTAGCGTCTGGTCGGACCTTTCTCTGAAGCTCTGAAGCTTTTCTGAAGTCTTAAACTTGATAATCTGACATTCACATCTTGAAATCTAGTTGTTTTGTCATTGTTTCTTTAAAGATGGTGATTGATCACTCAAACCGCCCCCCCCCTTCGGGAATCGATGAAACACCAGCTCAGTTCTCTGCCATCGCCGTGAGTGAGGATCTGGTGATTTCATTTATGACTTCAACATGGCTTTACGAACATCTATATTGAAATGTTACCAATGAAATGCCCGGCCGGCACTGTTCTATACGGCACAGCCGCGCGGGAAGTGTAATAATTACGAGCCGGTGAAAATAACGTATTCTGGCCCTGGACAACTTCATCTGCCTGTAGAACTAACGTATTCTGGTGCTGGACAACTTTATCTGCCGGTAGAGCGATGTTTAATTTCACGTTCGCGACCTCCAGTGTCAGATCGGGTTTACGCCGGGCCGGGTGTCGATCCTATCCTCGTAAAAAGCAGGCTCTATAAGTCTATTAAATCCTTTGTTGCGGCTCTCAGCCCACAAAGCCGCTGCCGTTACGTGACAGGCGTGGGCCGTGACTGATGTGGTGATGAACTAGTCTCCACCAGGCCTTTCTACGGCAAATATTCTCCTATATATATAGCCAGCGTAGTTAATCTGGTAGAGACTACCAGAACGGCGACGGCGTTACGTGACAGGCGTGGGCCGTGACTGATGTGGTGATGAACTAGTCTCCACCAGGTCTTTCTACGGCAAATATTCTCCTATATATAGCCAGCGTAGTTAATCTGGTAGAGACTACCAGAACGCCGACGGCGTTAGATGACAGGCGTGGGCCGTGACTGATGTGGTGATGAACGCCCTCCGCTGAGCTGCCTGATCGGGAAAGCTCCGCCATGCATCATGCGCGATGCCGGATAACTTTTCTTTCGCTTAACGTGTTCATTAAGGGTCTATAGTGTTGTACTTCGCTTAACGTGTTCATTAAGGGTCTATAGTGTTGTACATGATGCACGTACGATAGTGCTTACGTCCATCCCCGGCTTATCAGCTAAAACATTCATTCATTAGTACAGGACGATAGGATATAAAAGAATATTGCAAATTCATCCCTGAGGCTAATTGCAAGAGCATGATAACAAATAAACAGTAAAAATGATAATAAGTAATGCTAATGCTACTTTGGATACAGTTATTGTTGGGTTTGATTTCTTTTCTGTGTGCAGTGGAGTATGAAATGGCCGGCATTTTGCGAGATGTATGAATTGGGGGGTGTTAATAGAAATGCAGTTTTTTGTAGGCTGAGAAGGTGAATTTTGGTACATTTCAAGTAAACATTTTAGCTAGGGAACATTTTGGTGACCATTTCAAGTAACTTATAGGAGAGACACACTATTGCATATTCAACTGGCAAGCATGTATAGCATTGGTTGGGGGGGGGGGGGCGCGGCAGGTATATTTATTGACGGTGCACTACTGAAGTCAAAAATCTGACAGGACGAATGCAGACAGATTTAGCAACCATCTAGAGAGTATAGTTTTACACCTTTTTATATACGATTCGATTCACGGTGTGAAGTCTCATCTGAGTTTTGATGAACCTTCCATTCATAATTTACTGATTATTCACACACACACACACACACACACACACACACACACACACACACACACACACACACACACACACACACACACACACACACACACACACACACACACACACACACACACACACACACACGTGACTGCAGCGCGAATCACACCAACATGACAGAGGTCACGCGGATATCGAACTGCCCAGTTCTGTAGGTCACGCGAGTAGAAAGATGCAAATACCCAAAATCCATCCCACTTCCTCACCCGGTCATCATTCTACCAGCATACCAAACATAGCGCACTGCGCCTGTGCCGTGTTTGGTGAACGATGCATCAGGATTCTGGCCGTTTCAGGCGACACAACATTTGAAAACTACAGACGGGACGTCATCCTTACATACCTGACGTCATCCTTACATACCTGACGTCATCCTTACATACCTGAATACGACCTTACAGACGGGACGTCATCCGTACATACCTGAATACGACCTTAAAACAGACACTCTGACAAATCACAATGCATTACGGGTTTCGCGCAGGCGCAGTACGTTCTGCCGACGTGCACCATGGGTACTGTTGGATCATAAAGAGGTTCGCGATTAAAACTGCGCATGCTCAGTGTCAATGTTGAAGGCCCCTAGATGTTAACAGGACACGTCTGGACATGTGTACGGTTTCGCGCATGCGCACTACGACATGTATACGGCATGATCTGTCGTATTTTGTGGTGATGAACTAATCTCCTGGATCTAATGGGCCCTTACCTCTGACACTGAGCATGTGCAGTCTTAATCGTAAACCTCCATATTATTGAGAATTCATAGAGTTCTGAAGACGACT